CTGTCTGTAATGAACTGCCACCGCTGTTCCCTCCCTGTGTGAGAACGAGGCACACAGACAGGAAGGCTCTGACAGAAACAAACACCCCACAAAGCGCAACCAACACACACACACACTCTGACAAACACATATCCAAGGTCTACTACACAAACACCCAGAGCACAAACAAACTACCTTTCTTCTTTGACAAGTGCACGGACAAAACACACACACTCACACATAGACGTCAAAAAATATGTGTCCATGTGAAACACATATTTACAATACTGTAGATTTAGATAGTCATACTCCACCAAACATCAAGAAAATCTGACAGCTGAGACGTAGAAAAACCTTGCCAACTGCCTGGATCTTACTTTGGCACTGCTGCAATCCTCAACTTGCCATCACCCTGTTTGGAATATGAAAGGCTGCCAAAATAAACAGGATGAGCCTGTGGGTTCAAATGTGTTATAGTCAATGTGGCTGCCCTTATTGATTAATTTTTTTTCTATCAAATCATTTTTCATTTATGGTTCAGAATTTTGAGCAGCTGGAATTAAATTCCATTCACCTGCACTGCATTAGGGTTGGCAGCATGCATTTTAGAGGTGGATGTCTGAAAACATCAGCACACAAAAACCTAAATCTGCATTGCAAAATGGTTGTGATTTTAGAGATCCAATCTTTTTTTAAGGGAAACAATGACTCATGTAGACATATAGAGAACGGTTCTTGCACACAAATACACACAACTTGCAAACAAAAAACATCCCTAAATAGGTGCAAGCATTGTGAACTTCTTGTATGCCACAGTGGCCGTGTCATGACACAGTCACAGTGTTGTGTGGCTGCAGAGTGAATTTTTGCCTCAATCCTCTAATACTCTGTAGGTCAGCCACTGTAATCACAGACTGACTTTCTGTAGAAAATAGCCCTGGAAATCAGAGAATGGTACATACAAGTGTTATACAGTATATAACCACCAGTAAGCAAGAGCTATAAACTCAAAAAAGATCAAGCACTATTTCTGCCACAATTACGATCCTGTGAGATAGGTGGCAGAGTAGGCATAATGATCTAAGAGAAAGCCAGAAAGGGTGAGGGAGGGTGTATGTGGAAGTGACTGTGTGTGTGTCTGCACCAGAACCAACAGGGACGAGAGAACTGCAAAGTGAGTGGAATCAAGAAAGCCCTCCTCCATTAAACAGGTCTACAAAGGAGAAACTGTGCCAAACAGGTAGTGTGTTTTCAGCCTCTCTAACTGCTCATATGCTATACACACATTCATTACATGAGTGTAACCTTCACCAAAAGTCGAAGGCTATTCACATGCAGTGTTTACAGTTTGAACTGTTGCATTTAAATAACAAAAATTTATCAATGCATGATATCAACTTATAGCAAAACTTGTGACAACAGGTAAATATAGGGTACTATATAACAGGAGGACACAATGTCATTAACATCTGAGTAATCAATGTCCAATCACGAGTCAAATGTTGAGTCCTGTTTTGGTTGAGCAGGCTGGTCATTAAACCAAATGGCCATTCCTAAGGTCATCGTTTCTTATGTAGATTTCCTTATTATACACAAGAAGTTTCTTATCTCCATGTACAGTATAAATATATATATATACTGTATTCATGTTTTGAATATGTTGGATGTTCCTCACCTGCAGCAGAGGTCTCTGGACACCCAGAACCTTCATGGTATCGGCGCTAGCAAGGATCTTCAAAGGGTCGGCTGTCTTGCTGACTGCCTCAATTTCCTTGTTAATTTCTGTTCGCACCTAGTGGTTCAGTGACAAGGGTTTACATTAATTCAGTCAGTGGGTGTTATAAATGGACTAAAGACACACACCACTCTGTTTTTCACACTACTGGGCATCAGGCTACCATAAGCCAGCCTTTCCTGAAATAACAACTCAGTGGTTTGTCAGCTTGTATTTTTCTTTTTCACTTTTAACCCTTTTCTGCACATTTTTCAAAGGTTTAAACTTGCCATTTCTTGTAGGTGAAAATATTCCCATTAGAAACACATTTCTTAAGCTTAAAAGTAAAACTTGAGGGCCAAATTTGCATAAATCAGAATTACAAATATGTTTGTGCATACAGGAACTTTAGATTTGTTTGACTAATACAATTTAAATCAAAACAAAATTCGCATGAGATGCAGAAATCTTCTCTCATTTATGGTATATATACATATGTACCAGCACACAGGAAGAGATCTACCTGTTCTCCTGCCATGTGGGTAGCCACTTATGGAGAACCATAAGCTTGGAAATGAAATATGTAGTTGGGTAAGAAAAGGTATTTTGCTGCAGTGATACTGAGGAGATGAAGTAATACAATGATCCCCATTGTGTTATTTAGTTCAGTTTGGAGAAATCCTCAAAGAGAACAATACAACATTCAAGCCAGCTGACTTTCAAGACTGGGAACCCCACAACTGCTTCAGTGGAATCTTCCAAAATAACAGACTGTGACTTTTAATAGCATACTATAAAATAAAGTGAGCACTGTACTGTTATTTAGTGTTACCAATGTCCCATAGCTGAGGTTGTAATATGAATAATTTTATTTAAAGCATTCCTTTCAGTACTGCTATTGCTGGTATACAAGCCTGTCAGACAGCATAAAAGGCATCAATCACTGACCTGGTTGAGGAATAGGTCATTGATGTAGTAAGTGAGGAAAGTCTGGAGCTGGCACTGCTTGGCCTGGCCCGGCCCCATGCTCGTTTCTATCTCGTGAATGAACCTGGGCAGAACAGTCAAGACAAACGTACATTAGAACAGCTAGGACACATCGACAACATTAACACCAGCTGTGAATAAAGGCTAAATCACCACTAAAATGTTTGAAACGTTATCACAGGAGCAATATGACGCAGGCTGGTGACCAGCAACACAGTAACTCCACATCAACAGATCCAGCATTGACTAGATGGGAAAAGTCTGCCATGGTATCTCACTCTGGAAAGTTTTGTATGACTCTCAAGGTGCCTTTGAGAATGTGAAAGTGCTCAAGTGGAGCTGCTCGGTGCCATTAGTGCAGACTTTAGTTATACTATACAACTCTCAGATGTGTGTGCAACAGCAGTAAATGTGTTCAGCACGATGTCTCTGCAAAGGAAAGAAAAATAAAACAGTTATTTATAGCAGAATAACTGTAAATACCAAGGCTATTTATGTAATTAAAAACATGATCAGAGCCCTAAAATGCATGCTCTCTGAATGCCCCCAGGAAGCTGGTGTCTGGCTGGTCAGACAGGGTCAGACAGTTATGTATGGGCTGAAAGAGGCACACACACACACACACACACATCGTTTGTCAGAGAATCATTGGTCACTGGTCCAGTCTCATGTACACCACAGGGCAAACCATGCAAGAGTGAGCACCTTCTCAAGCGCTCAACATATATAAATGTACAAATAAATCAAACTCCTTACAAAAGAATTCTTTGACCTACAAAACCTGTAGTATATATGACCTAAACTTATAGAAGAGAGTACAAAGAAAAGGAAGAAGAAAAATGATTTATGTGAAAAAATCTTGAAAAACTGAGGAGTGAAGCTGCAAAGATGACTGTACAGGGGGATGTGAATGGACAAAGCCATTTGTAAAAATCAGTGGGAAGATAACATTGCTTTGAAACTGTGTTCACGTGCTGGTAATGTGAAGTGGAAGTTAGAACCAGAAAGCTGCAAACTGGTAACAGCCGGAGACAATGTCTATAGATCGGTGGAGGCGGATGACTGTATGTATACACATGCAAACTTGTGCATGTACAGGCACACATGCACAAAAACATGCAAATACACAAGGAGTAAAAGCTATAAGATCACACTACTCAGCATCTGTGCCCAATTAGTCAACCAGAGCTAAGGCAAGTAAGTGTGTGTGTGCGGATCCTTGTGTGAGACAGAGTGAGTCAGGAACCTAAACCTATTCTAAATCCTTCATTGATTCCCACTGAAACTACCACAACAGAAAGTTAAGGAGGAGAAACTCTTCTGTGGCCTCATTAAAACCGTCAAGCTTGCAAAACAATGGGCGCCTCTCTGTATAAATATGTAGAGAGCAACTTACACAACCCTACTTTACAAAAAATACAATTGCTGCTGACAACTTCATTTCCAGAAATCGATCTTAGGACAAAAGTTACCAGTTTAAACGTGCGTCGTGTTGTTCCGAGATCCATCTCGTGCTGTCATTATTGTCATTGTTTCAATACAAGTGTCAAGATGATGAATCGTCAAGTTAGTGTGTGAACACAGATGGATTTTTGTAGGCAGGGGTGATAACGTTTGAGTAATGTAGCAACAACGAGGCAGTAAAACAGCTTTGTCTATCCAGACAGCCATCTGGAGCTGAGCTGTATGGCCCTTCATGAGGATACTAAGCCCATGGGTGTTGCAAGGAACTTTAGCCAAGGTACTGTAACTGGGCTAAAAGCTCTGCTGGGCCCCACAATGCTGAAAGGATCCTACAAACCTGAAGGAACAGGTTTGCATTTTGGAGCATGAGTTTGACAGACATTAAACAGAACATTCTGTGAGAGGATTCAGAAGCATCCTTTGGAGCGCTGAGGCTGACTAAATGCAAATGGATAAAATAACCTATGGGAAAAGCACAGCAGAGCCTAAAGATTTCCAAATGGATCCTGAAAGAAAATCTATCCCAGCACATTATCATTACAACCACATCTTCCAAACGTCTGCTTTACTGATGTCATGCAGCACACTGTATAAAGAATAACAGCTTCTGGTGATGATGGTCGGGTGATAAAGGAACCAAAACAAGTTAACACACAAATACCCATTCAAAAGCCATCAACTTGACTCAACTCCAAATGAATCACAAAAAAACAAACACAAAACACAGCAGTTTTCAGATTCTACAAGGTCATTTACAGAAACTCATACTCTGAGCCAAACCCCCTACACAAAAACATAAGGAGACAGCCTGACCTCTCACCGAAGAATGACAGCTTGCCTCAATTTTCTCTCTCAAGGCTACAACTGAGCTTGACTTTACAGTGGTCTAAATTGACATTTTCACTGGTTATTATGAGCTCCGACACAACACATCAGAAAATGACATGGTTTGACATCTTCTCAGCGTGCCTGGCTGGAGTTCCTTCATTATTAGTGATGGAAAAAGTTTTTTCTTTGAACAAGTCTGAAGTCTCTACATTAAATAGTCAAAACATATTTCAGACATACTACATAAGCAGCAGGCAAAGTGAAGGCCTAACTCACTTCACAGTCATACCGTGCTACATAAAAGCCAATTTAATGGTAGACAAATCCACAAATAACGTGCATAGTCCCCTTTGATTTGAAAAACCATTGCTAATTCTAAAGATGCTGTCAGTGCATTCCAAACTGCAAGAATTCAGTAATGTGTTTGCTTCATCTTATGAGGTTGTTATAATTGGACCCGATGTGACGTTAACTATGTCGGTTTCATTGCCAGGTGACAGCAAAACACACCAGACAGCCATATGGCAGCTGTACACTGTGGAGGTGTCAGCCAAGTCGCTAAGGAGACAAAGTGGAAGCGCTGAGGAGACACAGCAGCAACAACACAGCATGACTCGCCCCTGTGTGTGAAATCTTTAATAGCCTTAAATAATCTGCTTATTTGCCCTCTCATACACACTATTTCCAGCTGACCAAAAATACTGTGGTAGACACTGACACACAACAAAGACTAAATGTCAAGTATGGTGCTAACTGATTTTCTTATTTTAATAAAGACTTCAATAATGCTGATCATAACAGCAATAAATACAGATGGGTGACAGATTAAAGGAAAATAGTAACATCAGGTTAGCTTTGACTTTTTATTAAACAGCTTCAGTGCTCCTCTGTTGGAGCGAGGAAGGATTGTTCTTCCAGATCTTCTTCTTCAATAAACTTTATTATACTCATTAACAGTAGTGAAAAGTAATTAAGTACATTTACCCAGGTATGGCAATTCAGTAAAATTTTGAGGTATCTGTAGTTTACTTGGGTATTTTCAATTCTTGCTGCTTCATACTTTGACTTCACTACATTTTAGAGGTAAATATTGTACTTTTTACTTCACTGATGATGTTTCAGAATCTGATTAACTATACTGTACAAAATATATTATAATCAGCTGACTTTATTGATACCTTTGGTTCTTTCAATTCACAAAATAACCAAGCAGTACATCAAATTATAAGCAAGTAGGGTAGTTAAAATGATCTCCAGCTTTACCAGCTGCAGCATTAAAGTGATGTACACAATAATGCGTCCATTATTGTAATCCAATAATATGAATGCAGGACTTTTACTTGTGACAGAGCATTTTTATACTATGGTATTTTACTTAAGTAAACAATGTGAGTACTTCTACCGCTGCTCATTAAGCAATTCAGTAACGTTGAGCTGCAACCATAAGTCACTTAAATGATAGGAAACGCACTGGCAATTATTTTGAAGGATAAATAACCAACGTTTTCAGGTTACAGCATCTTTAATGTGAGGAACCGATGCTTCACTTTGTCATACATGATAATAAACTGAATATTTTTCGATTTATTGGTTGGACAAAACAAGACATTTGAAGACACTGTCTTTAACTCCAGAAAGTCCAAATGGGCAGTTTTCCCAAATTTTGACATTTTGTTCATAAAAAGATAAATCAAATAAACAAAAACAAAATTGGCAAAATAACCAGTGACCCATGCATTTTTTTTCTTCTACTTATTTTCCTTTGATTTGTCACTCATCTGTACATAAATGATGCGCTAATAAACTATTTGCTCAATTAGACTGAAGCAGAGCAGCCATCCTTCTGCAACGACACACAACAGAAAAATTGATGAATAATGCAATATACTGTATGTGTAAGACATAGTTGTTTTAGCTTTGAGTTTCAAGCTTTGTTTATGTTCAAAAACTAGCAAAAACTGGGCTGTGCCATTTAAATCAATTCCACACAAACATCTAAATAGATGTGGTAAGAACCTTTCACACACACTTTCAGACAAATGCATATGTGCTGGCACACTGACAAGAGCACAAAACTGATATTCAAATTCAGAAAGAGCGTGTTATAGCATCCCCACGCTCTCCTCAGTGTTTTGTCTCCTCTGGAACCAACATGGCTGCACCAGTCGCACTCAAAATGCACTTTCTTAGCAGCAACTGCAGATGATTGCACTTGACAGCATGTAATTATCTATCATTAGGAAACAGATGTCAGAACCTAGGTTGTGGGGATGGATAATTGTAGATGCCATGCCCTGTGTGTATGTATGTCAAGAAATAACATTTCTGAATGGCATAATGTAGTTATACCAACTAGGATTTGGCTAATGAGCAAACCCGCTGCATCCTAACAGTTCTTTGATTATTCAGAGAAAGCCAAAGTTTTATTTTTTTAAGATAAACAGATGAGAACAGACAGGGACAAAAATGTTTTATGGCAGCAGCTCTGAATTCAATTCCCACTGGAAACTAAACCTGAGGCAACAAATGCTTAAATGGAAAGGGCTGGGATCCCGTCATCTATCTCTATCCACAGCAGCGGAGTAATGATGTCAAAAGAGAAATGGGATAAAGACAGATTTAAGAAAGACAGCAGAATAAGAGTGTGCTCAGATCGATTAGAGACTCAGCATTTTTAAATCTCCCAGAATTCCCCTCAGGCACGAACCTTTCAGCTACAGTGATATTCTGATTTGGCTGCCTAAGGAGGAAAGCTCGTTCTGTAAAGACCTG